AAGCGACATTCAATAACAAGTTTCCTTTCTCGAAGAAAGGCCGTACGCATAGGCACCACGATGACCAAGATGAGCTTATTGGGCCAACCGATAGGTCGCAAGAAAAGGGCACGCATTACGTACTGGACACGAACCTTGACAACATGGAAGGCATCGTGAGCAGACCATTGCCGATGACTCCCATGGACGCAAACTTCGTCAATAACATTGAAGCTGATCGACGGCAACAACCAGTACCACAAAACCAAGTCGGACAGAATCAAGTTGGACAAAATCAAGTCGGCGGCCCCAATGGAGCCTGGAATGCACCAGACAGTTGGGCTGTTCGTCGAGGGGAAGAGATCGCAGCTCATGTGCCTGATGTCGATGACATCGGTAGTCCCCCACGACCCGATGAGAAGATGTCAAACTATTGTATCCGTGTATTCCGATCAGACGGCACCTTTGCGACGCTCAATCTACCATTAGACTCATCGGTTCAGGATCTGGTCGGCCAGATCGTTAAGAAGTCCTATGTTACTGAAAGTCTCGATAACTATCATATCATCATGAAGAAACACGATTTAGTTCGGGTTCTAAGCTCGGCGGAACGACCGCTCTTGATGCAAAAGAGGCTCCTTCAACAGGTTGGGTACGAAGAACGTGACCGGATCGAGGATATTGGTCGAGAAGACAACAGTTACCTATGCCGCTTCCTATTTCTCTCCGCTCGAGAAAGCGATTTCCACGCTCTCAGCCATGACCTTGGTCTTGAACGGATGCAGAAGTTCAACCATGTCGATCTTTCCGGACGAAACCTTGTTACGATTCCTATCTCACTATATATCAAAGCCCCAGAGATTATTTCTCTGAACTTATCTCGAAACCTCTCCTTGGACCTCCCCCGGGATTTCATCCAGTCATGTCGAAATTTGCGCGACATCAAATACAACAATAACGAGGCGCGCAGACTTCCTCCCAGTTTGAGCAGAGCAAATAAGCTCACATATCTGGATGTGTCCAACAACCGTCTGGAGCAGCTGGAACATGCCGAGTTGAGTGGACTGACTGGTCTATTAAAGCTCAACTTGGCAAACAATCGCCTAAAGCACCTACCTCCTTATTTTGGTGCATACAGGTCGCTGAGGACACTGACCATTTCCTCTAACTTTCTCGAGAAGTTCCCGGTCTTCTTGTGCGATCTTGACAGCTTAGTGGATCTCGATGTTAGCTTCAATTTGATTATGAGCTTTCCTGAGTCAATCGGGAATCTGCGAGCGCTGGAGAAGTTTGTGATCACTAACAATAGGCTTACTGGTGCTCTGCCGGAGTCGTTCAAGAATCTCACAAGTCTTCGTGAGCTGGATGTTAAATACAACGCTATCTCTGGTATCGACGTGATCTCGGAACTGCCAAAGCTGGAGATTCTGACAGCCGACCATAATGCAATTTCGCAATTCGTTGGAAGTTTCGAGAGGTTACGAAGTCTCAAACTCAACCAGAATCCGATAACGAGATTCGATATTGTTTCCCCCGTCCCGACATTGAAGAATTTGAATTTGTCTAGTGCTCAATTGGCAAGCATTGACGAGTCCTTCAATAATATGCTGAACCTTGAAAGACTGGTCTTAGACAAGAACTATTTCGTGTCTTTGCCGCCTCAAATTGGTAATCTCAGGAGACTGGAGCACTTCAGCATAGCTCGAAACTCTGTTGGCGAACTACCTCCAGAGATCGGGTGCCTGACTGAGCTCAGGGTCCTTGATGTGCGTGGGAATAATATTAGAAAGTTACCCATGGAATTGTGGTGGGCAAACAAATTGGAGACATTGAACGCATCTTCCAATGTCTTGGAGACTTTCCCCAAACCAGCATCTAGACCACCCCAACCGCCAAGTGAGCCCTCCTCACAGCAGTCCGGGTTGAATGGGAAGCCTGGACCAATGGGCAGCCTGAGTGAATCTATGAGTTCAGAGGAAACGTTGCCCGATGGATCGAGACGGCCTAGCCAGGCGTCTAGTACACTCCTCAGTGTCGGACCGTCTCCTGTCCCAACCGGGCCTGATCGGAAGAGCTCTGTGGTGTCCGTATACGGCAAAGGGGGTCGGAAAACATCCGTCGTGTCTCGGGCTACTAACCAGAGTAGCACTACTGGAATGATGACCCCTACTACAGCCTCCAGGAAGGACTCCAGCCTCTCTGCGCGTTTGACAAACACCTTTGCGGGCTCCTTGAGGAATATCTACCTTGCAGACAACCAACTTGACGATGATGTTTTCGATCAAATTACCCTGCTAGGCGAGCTTCGCGTTCTCAATTTATCGTACAACGATATTAGCGATATGCCTCAACGATCAATCAAGAATTGGCCTCAGCTGGTTGAATTATATCTCTCCGGAAACGAGCTCACAACTTTGCCCGCTGATGACTTGGAGGAATACAGTCTTCTCCAAGTCCTTCATATCAACAGTAACAAGTTCACCAATCTTCCGGCCGACATCTCAAGAGCAAAGAAACTCGCTGTCCTGGATTGTGGAAGCAACTACCTGAAGTACAACATCTCCAATGTACCATACGATTGGAATTGGAACTTGAATCCCAACCTGAGGTTCCTCAATCTGTCAGGAAACAGGCGACTAGAAATCAAACAAACAGTGTTTGGTGCCGGTGCTGCAAATCGCGAGCAGTATACTGACTTTAACCGCTTGCTAAACTTGCGTGTCCTTGGTTTGATGGATGTCACGCTTACTCAACCAAGTATTCCGGATCAGAGTGAAGATCGCCGTGTACGAACGTCAGGCTCATTGGCTGGCCATCTACCATATGGAATGGCGGACACCCTTGGCAAGAATGAGCATCTATCGACAATAGATCTTGTGGTGCCTCGCTTCAACTCTTCTGAGACTGAAACACTACTCGGCTTGTTCGACGGTCAGGCACTCTCCAGTGGTGGCTCCAAGATAGCCAAGTATCTTCACGAGAACTTTGGCCATATATTTACGATGGAGCTCAAAGCGTTGAAGATACGTCAGAATGAGACCCCCGAGGATGCCTTGCGACGGGCGTTTCTATCCCTGAACAAGGATCTAGTAACAATTGCGATCCAGCACACCGAAGAACGACCTTTGGTGTCTCATCGTGGTTCTGCACAACCGGTCGTGCTGAGTAAGGAGGATCTCAATTCCGGTGGTGTGGCTACTGTTGTCTACTTGCAGGGTCAAGAACTTTACGTCGCCAATGTTGGAGACGCGCAAGCTATGATCATTCAGACCGATAGCAGCCACAGGATTTTGACTCGCAAACATGATCCAGCTGAGCCTAATGAGCGTGCTCGCATACGAGAAGCTGGTGGTTGGGTATCACGTAACGGCAGACTCAACGATCTTCTCGAAGTCTCGAGAGCATTTGGCTATGTTGACCTCATGCCAGCCGTGCAGGCTGCACCCTACGTCAGTCATGTCACTGTCAAGGAGCAGGATGAGACCATCCTCATTGCAACCAAGGAGCTCTGGGAGTATTTGTCTCCTGGCTTGGTTGTTGACATCGCCCGCTCCGAGCGTGGTGATCTCATGCGAGCTTCACAAAAACTGCGAGATATCGCCATGGCTTATGGCGCCAGTGGAAAGATCATGGTTATGATGATGAGTGTTGCGGATCTGAAGAGAAGGAATGAGCGCTCAAGACTGCATCGTGGCCAAAGCTTGTCGCTGTATCCATCTGGCGTTCCAGACGAGATCCTGCCTCAAAGAAGGGCGAGAAAGCCCAAGGGTGAAGTTTTGGATTCTACTCTCCAGCGTCTTGAAGCCGAAGTCCCTGCTCCAACGGGTATGATTGCGATTGTGTTCACGGACATCAAGAGCTCGACGAATTTGTGGGAGACGTATCCTTCAGCTATGCGATCTGCCATAAAGCTCCACAACGAAGTCATGCGCCGACAGCTACGGCGCATTGGAGGTTTTGAAGTCAAGACTGAAGGCGATGCCTTTATGGTGTCCTTCCCCACAGCAACGTCCGCATTACTCTGGTCGTTCGCTGTCCAGATGAGCTTACTTGAGGTCAACTGGCCACCAGAGATGCTCAACTCTGTCTCATGTCAACCAACATACGACAAAGACAACAACCTGATATTCAAGGGTCTCTCGGTTAGAATGGGCATACATTGGGGCGAGCCTCTTTGTGAGCCAGATCCTATCACTCGTCGTATGGATTACTATGGTCCTATGGTCAACAAGGCGTCTCGTATCTCGGCCGTTGCAGACGGTGGCCAGATTACGGTCTCTTCAGATTTTATTTCCGAGATCCAGCGCTCTCTTGAGACCTACCAAGAAGCTGCTCCTGGTGCAGACGAAAGCTTCGAAGATGAGTTTGCACAATCAATCCGAAAAGAGTTGCGCTCTTTGAGCTCACAAGGTTTCGAAGTCAAGGAGATGGGTGAGAGGAAGCTGAAGGGTCTTGAAAATCCCGAGGTTGTCTACTCATTGTATCCTCATGCGCTGGCAGGCCGTATGGAACCCCATCAATCTCATGACAGGCAGGTTGAGATCGTGGACAAGCCAGCTTCTCTTCCTGCTGGCAGCGAGCTCACATTTGACCCTGAGATTATCTGGGCATTATGGCGGGTCAGTCTCCGGCTTGAGATGCTCTGCAGCACACTTGAAGAGATGTCAGGGCACGGCCTTCAGCCCCCCGAGACAGAATTGCTGGAACGCATGAAGCAACGCGGCGGCGAAGTGACTGAGCGATTTCTCATGAACTTCATGGAACACCAAGTGAGCCGTATCGAGGTAAGCACTCATACTGGTTATCATGTGAAGGTAAACGCAGACGCTGACAAGGTACCAGACATGCATTTCTACTCTCACGATTCGTCATCTCGCGGTTGGGGGAGGCCCTATCCGACAGCTGAGCGACCTGCGGGCACCAATGTCATCTGTCCTAGACTCTGTGGCAGAGCAGCTCGCAGAACTTCAGCGCTACAAGGCCATGTTTGGCGCACTCAATGCCGAGGCCAGCGATACTGAACAAGAATGAATGGCGTGGAAACACTCTCCCTTATACCCGCACTCTAACCAACGCACCGTCCTCTTGTCCTAATCTGGTGGTTATCTTTGTCTGCACGCTGCAACGCCTTTATCAGAACACGGCGTATATTATACCTCTTTTCACTTCGTCAGCTATACGATGTAATGACTACAAAACTCGGGATTGGGCAGGCTCATTGTGACACTGGGTTATGGGCCAACATCACGTATCTAGGGGGTGTTTTCTTTCCCCTTGCTGTGGAGCATACACTGTTTGACATTCAATGAGGGGACTCGGAGCCCAAGGTGCAAAGATTATGTTTTTTTCTGCCGTCGGTTCTTTTTAGGGTAGCATTTTTATATGGGAGGAAAGTAACCTGGATGGGTCTGGGCTGGATCGTTTGGCACACCTGCTGTTAGTTTCTTGGGCATTGAAGAGAGCCAAAGAGGAATCTCGAACCTCGGAATTGGCGTTTTCGAGGAGGAAAGGAAAGGTACTATTACTTGCTCGTTGGCTAGGACTGCGATTGCGAGCCTTTGCTTTTTGGGGGGCATACCGTCTTCCTTCCTCACCTGAAAGTACCTTGCCTTACCCACTGGTCCACCTATAGTGTCTGTTGACAATAGACAATCGAGCTATCAATTATTTCTGCATGCCCTTTTTCAAGTCGTTTGTGTCATGCTTCGAGTGCATATTGAACAAACTCAGGTCCGTCTTGCAAAGCAAGCCCTTAAACCAGGGCCAGGATCTGGGCATATAGGTCGAAAATTGCAATTTTGAGGATTGGACAGCCTGTAGAGACAGGCAATTGGCGAGCATTCATCAGAATGTGAAGAGTCAATCGTCTCTATGCTCGACCAACATGGCTGTTCAGGGGTCGGTCGGGGTCTGATAAGGCGCTGATTGAATGACGCACGAGCCACGCTGCCGAAAGCCCCGCGGTTGCCCAAGCTCTCCACCAAGGGATCAGCTTGCTCTGTGTATCATGTCAACCTCGCACTGAAACCTCACACAACAACTCTACAACCTCAGCCATTTCGATCAGCCCTGCGAGCTCATCAACATGGCGGTCGATCCCTATGATTCGGCCTTGTAAGTACTCTGCTCTACTACCACACTGGAGCTGCCTAACCAGAGACACTGACCCCGCCCTTTGCCAGGGACCTGCTCCGCCGCCTGGACCCGAAACACACGGCGAAGCACCTCGACTACATCCTGCGGCTGAACCCGGAGCTGACAGAGGACCTGCTCTCGTCCGTCGACCAGCCGCTGAGCGTGCGCCGGTGCAAGCAGACGGGGCGCGACTACCTGCTGTGCGACTACAACCGCGACGGCGACTCGTACCGCTCGCCGTGGTCCAACCAGTTCGACCCGCCGCTGGACGAGGGCGGGCCCGGCGGCGTGGGCGCGGGCGGCGGCAACGAGGGCGCGGGCGAGGGCGCCATCCCCGGCGAGCGCGTGCGCAAGATGGAGGTCAAGGCCAACGAGGCCTTTGACATCTACCGCGAGCTGTACTACGAGGGCGGCGTGTCGTCTGTCTACTTCTGGAACCTGGACGACGGCTTTGCTGGGGTGGTGCTGCTCAAGAAATGTGAGTGTGCCAGCTGTTCATTGGCATTTCAGACGGCGTCATTCGCCCCGATATTCCTTAGCCTCCTGCCCTTGGGCATGATGATACATGTACATTGCTAATCATCCAAAACAGCCGCTCCCCAAGGTGGCAGCAGCACCGGCGTGTGGGACTCGATCCACGTCTTCGAGGCGAGCGAGCGCGGCCGCACGACCAACTACCGGCTGACGTCGACAGTCATCCTGTCGCTGTCGTCGTCCGGCTCCTCGCTGGGCGAGATGGATCTGAGCGGCAACATGACGCGGCAGATCGAGCAGGACCTCCCGGTGGAGAGCGACGAGAGCCACATTGCCAACATCGGGCGCCTCGTCGAGGACATGGAGCTCAAGATGCGCAACCTGCTGCAGGAGGTCTACTTCGGCAAGGCCAAGGACGTGGTCGGCGACCTCCGCAGCGTCGGCACCCTCAGCGAGGGCCGCAGGGACAGGGACACACACCGCGAGCTCATTGGCAGCATGAAGAGATGATGATGGGCATCACGCCCCATTCTGTCATCGAATATCACCTTTAGGGGGTCTTACTGTCATCCCGGGAGACTTTTGGGTGTAGCACAGGCACGGTCTCGGGAAAGGGGGAAGTGGAGGCCCCAAGTGAGAGCACAGGTGTAGCTAAGCATACGGCGAGATGGGGGGGAGACGAAAAGCCACCGTGCTACTCGATCTCCGATATTTCAGGAGGGTAGTTGTTGTGTTCCCCTCAGCATCCCTGCAGAGGAGGCCATGCGTGAGACCTCCCACTGTCAATAATCTTACATTTTTACGAACTCAGAAATTTAACGAATTGACGAAAACTTCCGAAAGTCCAATTGGGGAACAAGAAACTAACGAATGCACTGGGTCGCTTACCAGGCGGGCCCAGCAGTCTGGCAGGCAAAGACGGAGAAACAGAAAAAAGGACGCAGCAGCAGTGACTTTACGTTTCAGCCACCCACACGGGAAGCGCAGCAATGACTTGCAGCAGCGTGCATATATGTACGCTAGTGAGGTTCCCAGGACGGAGGGTTTATCTCCAATGGTAGCCTGTAAACATGCAGCATTTCGAACCTGCATGCATGCGAGTTGACCAAGGCGGCAGGGAAGCAATTTAAAGACACCGCGAGAGGTGTATGAGGATGGATGGCCGAGGTATTCGCCGGGCGTAGCGTATGCAGCATGTCATTTGCAGTGAATTGTGCGCCTTGTGTGATCTCCTATTCGAAGCGTCCACAGACGCAACTCTCTAGGACGCGCAGTAGTGAAATTATATCAGGCCATCTGCACAGACAAGTGTAAAGAATCTCCTATGACATGACTTACGGCCGTATTGTTGGATGGCTTTATGCGCGTCTCATCGTGAGCAACGAACACACCAGTCAGGAACTCCCAATGGCGTGGTCGGTACCAGAACCCTGGGAATGATTTTTAAAGGACACTGGGAATGTTTTTGAAATGCCAGGCTGACACTTGAGTAGACGGGTAAGCACATAAAAAGCCAGGAGGAGCATTATGCTGTATCCGGGAGTAGGATAAATGCGCCATACAGACGGTTTCGAAATGGAGGTCAGGTCCTCGTGACCATGTCAAGGAAGTTGTAGAGATCAAGCGTCCCTCGAGGTTTTGCAATATCCTGCGAGCCAGATAGTATGAAGTGAGATATGTACTTCTAATGAGGAAGTCGGCTTTCGGTTTCAATAGCCTGCCCATTCCACACTCAGATAGTAGAAGATCGTTGACTTCGAAAGCTGATAGATGAATCCAGCGATGATCGCTAGGGATTCAAGACACGGGTTACCTACACCGCCTGTAAGTCTCAACGGGAGAAGCTCACCAGCTGGCCTGCGACCTGGCCGCCCATGACATCCGGGAAGATAAGCTGAATCAAGTCTGCCACTGATTGGTGCCCACGCATATTGAGTGCAGTCTGTGGGGGTACGTGATCCTAGAAATATTCGGTTGATATAAAGGCGAGATGAGACAAATATCGACATATCACCGGCCAGATGTGGTCAAGACGTCTTGACAGGGAGGACAATGTCGCACAACTTTTCAAGCAGCTAACCTAACTGGTTGGGAAGTGAGCAATGTGCCATCCAGCGGAGATATCTCGCAGGAAATGGATGATAGGGGTCCTATGATGGGAGCGTCAAAGAGGCGGCAAGTGGCTTGCCAAGTCGAAGCCGTCGGGACTTACTCCGAACTCGCTCGGCCCGCCTAATGACACGAGCGCAGGAAGGATGCATCATGGAGAACCCTGACAAGCTTGGATCCCGGGGCCTTTGCCTTTTCTCGTCATTTCATCAGCGTCAAAGTGGCCCGAACGTTCTAGAATACACATAACCACGGCCATGTGGTGGTGTATGTTGCAGCACGATGCCCAGTATGGATGGCATGGCAAAATAAGGTGTAGGGGAGAGGAAGGCTCGTGCCGAAGAACATGACCTAAGAGACGGATCTTACCCCTGAGCGGGAACGGGCCAGTCCACAGTGGCCATCGGATACGCTAGGGCTACGCCGCTTCAGGGTAGGCATTGGGCATCTAACCCCACTAGCATCCAACATTGGCGACTCTGACGCCTGTCCTACCCCTCTCTGGCATATTGGACGGGGCCACAGGGTGTCCTGCGTGACTTGACTGTCCACTGTGTGTGTGGGGATGCCGCCAAATTGCGACAATCTTGTGCGATGCGATGCCGCAGCCAGCGCGCCCCTCGTGGGCGATTCTTGTATTCTGAATTGCCATGAGGTACCTACAGGTACGGACGATGAGCTGGAGTTGCAGAATCTCTGTGTGATGCGCCCTGTGCCAGAAAAGGAGAGCGGAGCGCGCAGGGGCGAGTGTAAGGAAAGCAGACAGCAAAATACAGCCGTATAGGGCAGAAGGGGTCGTCAGAGACACGGACCGCCTCGTCGTATGTCTGATGCTGTGTCGCTGTGTCGCGGTGGAACAGCAACTGCAACTGGTAGCAGAGTGAGTGGGGTTTCTCGACAGGAGCAGGAAGCGCAGGAGCTGGAGGAAGGCGTCCGGGTCATTCCAAGGCATGTCCAACACCAATACACACTCAACCACCCTCAGAGCCCTGTAGAGCGCATGACAAGGTGGAAGCTGGTATGAAGTAGCTAGCTACCCAGGCAGTCTCTAGCTCCAACGAAATCCATGACGGTTCCACGGCGACCTGAGACTGGATGCTGAAGAGGTTGATATCTGGCTAATGGGTATTGCTCCAGTGCATGCAGACATGCATGCAAGCACTTCCTTCCCAGGAGGGAGGGGAGGCTCAAAAGCTGAGGTTGCAGCACTACCGAGCCAGCTGTCCGCACTTCCGACTGGCAGAAACGGCGAAGCACCTCCCATGCCGTTGTAGATGGGATCGTAGGTAGAGGGCTGCATTGTATTAATTGTGCTTTTGCTGTAGAGTGTGAATGAGGGCTTCTTAAGAAAGCGAAGATTGGCGAGAGGAAATGAACAGTTTGAGCCTGATGTGGGCCTCGCGGGCCTGGCGGGCATGTCCTTGTCCTGGACTTCCTGGAGCTGGTGCATGGCTGGCTTCAGACAGATGAGGTGGAAGCAGTCGTCGCTGCTAAAAATGGTAAGCCTTGCATCTGAACGGCTGCATTGCATCAGCACCAGGACCAGGATCAGAAAAAGCACCAGCAGGCATGTACCTAACTTAGGAACCTACCTCCTTATGTATGTATGTACATATCAAAGGCAGGTTGGCCGCAGGGAATTGGAGTTCCATGCAATTACAGGCTGAGTATAGACTGTACCTGCCTTCTACCTCCATCTTGATCCTGCGGTGCTCTGTCGTGCTTTCCTGATTCCACCGTGCCCCGCTAGCTTCAGGCGCAAGGCAGGCACAAGGTAGGTTGAACTTCAAAATGGGAAAGAGCTCTTCAGGGAGGTTAAAGTCAAGTAGTTACCTTAGACACTAGACCAGACTATTCACTAGACCACTTAACTTAGAATAAATAAGATGGGGGCATGACGGTGTTGGCCAGGTGGTAGGGTATCAGGCGGGCTGGGGCTTGATTTGCATAAAGGTCCACCACAGTCCACTTGCATGCCGCCTGCCCGTGGTCCTCGGCGCCCCTTCCCTACCTTTAACTCACCTTAACCCGTTGAACCTCATCTTAAACCTCTAATAATCCCACCTGCTAGACTGCTACCCTACCCTACCCTACCTACCCTGACTGACTGACTGACTGACTAACTCTCTGCTGCTTCCTTTCTCAAGTTGCGGGGAGACAACTCGACTCGTTCCTGACCAGAAGAGCTCGGTGACGTTCTTTCTCTTTGTTCAGACAAGACAGGAGCGACCATACTTCACCTGTGCTTCCTTCCTTCCTTCTCTCGGCAGACCCAAATAGAGCTCCGTCCAGCGTTTCTCCTTAAGGTCTCGTCCCACGTCGTTGCTCTCGGACCACTCATCATCACTGTTCGCCTGGGCCGGATACGGATGCCCAACGTTGTCGGTTTCAATACCAGGGCGTTAATGTCACGTCTTCCCAACAGCTTCTATCCCGCTTACAACTATTAATTGGCTTGCTATTACGCATTTCCCGCATTTTTTCTTGGATACGCAACACCGTCTTCATCATTGCTTAGGAGCATCGCGAGCATCTTCAAGCCCATCTTCAAGCGCACCTTCAAGCTAGAACAGCGCACCGCCCACCCCACCTGGTGCGCACCGTGCCCGTGCCCCTCCCGACCCTGCCCAACACGGGCTCGCAGCAACGTCAGTCGCTACCATGGCCGAGAAGCCATCGGTATTGATCATTGGTGGCCTGGGCTACATCGGACGCTTCCTCGCCCTCTATATCCACCAGAACAACCTGGCCTCGGAGGTGCGCGTTGTCGACAAGGTCTTGCCACAATTAGCATGGTTGGCGCCCGAGTTCGAGGAGGCCTGTGCGGGTGACAAGTTCATGCAAGCGGATGCGAGTAGAGAGCGTAGGTTCCATGTTTCCTTTGTTGCCTGAGGGCCCAATGCCACCTCCGATGTATAGTCAGAACGTCTAATACCATCTATCACAGAGGCGTTAGCTCGGATATTCGACCGAACAGACGGCAAGGAATGGGACTACGTCTTCAACTGCGGCGGCGAGACTCGATACTCCCAGGAGGATGAGGTCTACAAGCTGCGTTCGTTAGCGTTGTCGCTAGCGGTTGGCAAAGAGGCCGCCAAGAGAAAGGTGAAGGCCTTCGTGGAGCTCAGTACCGGTATGGTGTACAAGTCGGACTCGTCGGCAAGTAAAGAGGGAGATAAGTTGAAGCCGTGGAGCAGGATTGCAACCTTCAAGCTGCAGGCCGAGGAAGAACTGGCCAAGGTCGCCGGGTAAGTCACAAAAACCCGTGGTCCAGGGCGATCTATAACTGACATGTTATCTCACAAAGGTTAAATCTGGTCATTGTACGCCTTCCCCACGTGTATGGCCCGTACGCATCTCAGTGGGTGGCGACGGCGCTGTGCATGGCCCGCGTGTACAAGTCACAAAACGAGGAGATGAAATGGCTGTGGACGAAGGACCTGCGAACTAACACAGTTCATATCCACGATGTGACGCGCGCATTGTGGTCCATTGTCTCCTGGTATGATGCGGGCAAAGCGAACTGGGACGACGCATCCATGGGTAAGGTGCCGACATTCAATGTCGTTGATAAGGGGGTCACGACGCAAGGCGTGATCGCGGACATTATCGGTCAGATCTTTGAGATCAAGACTGGGTTCCAGGGTCAACTCATCAGCACATTCGCACGGCTCAACATGGACAGCGTTGTGGACGATGTAAACGACGAGCTTCTAGGCCCGTGGGCCGATCTTCTTGCTGACGCGGGCATCACGAGACCGGGTCCGCTAACTCCGTTTATGGAAAAAGAGTTGCTGAAAGATACGGACTTGAGTATGGATGGCACACGGCTGGAGAAGGTCGTGGGCTTCCAATACGAGAAACCAAAGATCACAAAGGAGCTCATCGAGGAAGTAATTGAGAGTTACAAGAAAATGAAGTGGTGGCCGTGACCCGGGAGGAGCAAAGGAGGGGTCACAGCCAGTTTATATAGCACTGGAATGGAATGCGGAGGTAGGTTGGAGGAGTGCAGTCTAGTTTGAGACACTGCCTTCTATGATAACGGCCGCTAGCGAATGGTTTTTTTCTCAATTATCTCAAGGGGGAGGCTCATGGATGGGGGGTTCAGGGAGCTCTTGTATCACTAGGATATCCGTCTCTTTTTGTCAAAGTGTTATCACATCGCCAGGGGTATAACTCCTATCACCTTGTAATGGTGGCCTAATATACCTAAATACATATTCAAACGTCCTAGATTCTTGACAATTAATGTATAGCTGGCGTGCTTCCGAATCAAGAAAGTGCAGTTTGACATGTGCTATAAAGCCACTGGCACTTGGGGTATCTTGAAAAGCCACAGATAGAATCTAGCACCCTAATCTGAGGAGCCTCTTGACTGCGGACTAAGTGGACACGGCGGATTCGAATCTCATTTCCACGCTAGATTTAGTCGGCATACGGACTCAGATGCTCGCATTCACATGTGTCCTCGGAGTGTTGCAAGTCTCTGGCGGCCGAAACCCCAAGGAAAAGAACCGGAGTAGTGTCTGGGAAACCACTCTCTGGCAGGGGTGATGAGCCCGTAGCTCTCAACTCGCAATGCTGGGCGCATTGGCAAAACCCCTCAGAGCGTGCTACCAACAGCTCGGCCTCGTTTCTCCATCTGACAAGCCATGCCCAGCCCAGTGTGAGAGCTTTCGGCGCTTCGTTGCAGCGATCTCTGCTCTCCAGTGATCTCTGCTCTCCAGTCCAGATCGAGGCAGCCAAAGTCAGGCGCAGATATATAGTCCATTGTTATCACTTCGTAATTCTATGCATTCGGGGAATAGGTGTCGAGGCAGGGGCATCATGCTACCGGCCCCCAACCAACGGGCGTATCCTCTTAGGGCCTGGAGGCAGCCCCTCACTGGGCAAGGAGAGCGGGAATGGCTGGAGCTTTTCCCTCTTTGGGGAGGTCTTCAGCGCCATTGCTACCTGGTGCGTCACTGGGGGATCGACAAGCAACACCCCTGTCGAGCATGCCTCGGCCGCCGACGTTAAAGGACATTAACTTTCTTGTGACAGTCAGTCAGCCAGCCTGTCTGTCAGTCAGTGTCTCTGAACAGAACGTGTGAGAATAAGAAGTGCCGAAACCCAAGACAGCGTATCACCTTTCCTCTTTCTCATTGATTGCCTCCTGGGACTACTTGACCGCCAGCACTGTCTTCGAGACTTTCAAAAGCCTTGAATTCGTCCTTGCAAGTGTCACTTCACCTACCCCGCCAACTCAAGTGCTACTGCATCATCATTCACAATGGCTGCCCCGCCATCCAAGACGCTCAGAGACCTCAATGGCAAATGGGTCATGGTAAGCAAAGCACCGCTATTCCAAGCTTTAGAAGCCTCAAGCTTCCCAAGCTTGGCTTTTTATCTCAGGTTGAAGGAGAGAGTGTGCTAATTGCTCTTCCGCAACCGCAGAACAAGAGCCTCTCCGACAGCACGGACCCGGCGCTCGCCCTGCAGGGCATCGGGTGGCTGACGCGCAAGGC